GTTTAAGGCCTGCGGCTACATGTTCAGCAAATTTCTCTAAGGAACACACAGGCCCACCGCTCTCCGTGGGTTTTTGTTCCTCTTTACCAGAGTTGCTACCAAATGACATTAAGTCAGTTTCCCCTGGCTTTTTCTCCTTGCCTTCTTTGGGTTCTGGTTTTCCCAAAACTAATGAATTTTCTTTTAAGGGGGGGCTTTTATCAGACAAATTTTTGCATGTGTCCCTCAGGCAAGTTTCCCCTTGGGTGATGACATTAGCAATGACGGGATCATCATGTTTTTGGGTAATGATCTCATTTATTAGATTCCAGTATGAGAAAGCAGTTACAGGGACCTTTTGAGGCCCGAAAGCATCATAATAATCTTCTAGGGCATCCCCTACTCTTTTCCAACCTCTTTGATCTACGGTTCCTTCTTGAGGGAACCAGGGGCAAACATCCTTAATATAATCAAAATATTTGATTAACCAGTTTACTTTCACCTTTACTCCTCGCGACTTTAATGCTTTGCTGAGTCCTTCAACAAACAACTCATGCTGACTAATTTCCTGACCCATAATATTGTTGTTCACTTACCAGAGAACAAGGAACCACAGCAGGTTCCCCTGGTGACTCCTTCTCTGGATTTCTACCTTCAATCCGGCCGGCTTCGATGACGTCCCTCACAGTGTCCCTCTTACCTCGAGCCCCATGTTGGGCGCCAGACTGTCCCGACTGGCAGGACAACAACAGGAGCTCGAAGGGAGGGAGTGGGGATGGATGGGAACAGGAGATGCGAAGAATGGAGACAAGACAGGAGTCTGATCAAGTCTCGTTTATTGTTGCTAAGCTCACAGCTTAAATAGGTGCAGGCAGAGAGGCAGGGCAAGGGTAGCTTGCAGTTGGGAAATTCCGGCCTACGTAAGTTTCAGGAAACTGAAACTTATCAGCAGGAAACAGAAACTGAAACTTTACTGAAACTTATCAGCAGAGAAACAGAAACTGAAACATTACTGAAACTTATCAGCGGGAAACAAAGACTGAAACTTGTCAACAGGAAACATTAAACTGAAACTTATGCAAACCACAACATGGCTGAGCAGATCACAAAATGGTGGCTATTGCTGCCCACATAAACTGACATAACCTTCATAACCTTGTACACCACAAGGCTAAACAATGATCCCTGTGCAGAGCCAGGCTCACCACAGGCAGAAAGCCCTGCCTGAAGCTGAATGGAAGCAACAGCCTGTCACTCTTGGCTCATTCAGTGCAGTGTATGGTCGCATCTTCTGTCACTCAAGGCCTGAAGATGTGGAGCCTGGAGTCCTATCCAGTCAGGCATCTGGGGTGGGAACCATCCAATCAGGCACTCAGCCAGAGTGGAAAATGTGGCTTCCCGGATCTGGCCCGGCCTTTGTCTTTCTTGAGCTAGAGCAGGCAGGCTTCACTGCACTGTATCCTTCTCTCCTGGAGGTCTAGATCATTCTGAGACTCAGTCACTCTGTGATGTGCTGGCATTGGGAGATTTATAGCTAAGACTCCAGGACACCCCTGAAAACGAGAAATGGTGAGTGTGTGGGGCTGGGCATCCCGAGACTTGGGGAGGGGGCTCCTTGGAACTGGCTGGAAATGGTGGTGGTGGGACCGAGTCTGCGAGTCGAGTGCCCTGCAGCTTAGTGATCAGTCCCCTCTGGTGCAGGGGTCCCGGGTATCCTGTCCAGTCCCTGCATGGTGACTTTGGCCCCAGCCTATAGCTCTCTGGGCAGCTCTGCACCCGCCCCTCTGCATCTTCCCCAGGTTGGGAGGTGATAATGAGGAGAGAGTCAGGTTCCTGCGTGGGAGGAGCTGTGGTCCTTGGGGTTTTCCATCCCTACCTTACCCTATTCAGAATTAGACTGAGGCATCATAAAATGTAAAGAGCTTATATGAGCTAATAGTGATTAATTAATGGGACAGCACTCAGCAATGGTTTGTGGTTTTGGGACCACCAGAGAGTCTTGAAAGAAAGGATTTTATTAAGTGTGTGAGAAAGCAAAGACAATTAAATAATTGATTGGGTACAGTTATGTAATCCCTTTATTTGGAGTGTCTGGGTGGAAATTTCCTGGTTATGTAATCGGTGATTAATTGGAGGTTTGTAGCTGGTTAAGCTTGAATTTTGTTTCCTTCTAAGATAGTAACTAAGAAAAAAATGCATGTAAGTTAGATTTCTTTTTTTTACACAGAGACCTAGACCACTAGAGCCACTTCAGTCTAACTGACTGCTGTTTAATTATTTTAATTTTAATCAAAGACACTGGTTTTTGTCTGCATTTTCCAAATGTGTGGCAAGCAGGGTCTCACATCCACTACTCTGTTCTGCCAGCCTAACTTGGCTTGAAGTAAAGTCTTAAATTTCCGGTTTCTTGTTGACATTCCCCAAGCCAACTCTTCCCCTCCCAAACATTATCAATTACTTTTTTCCTTTATTGCTAATTTCAGAAACAGTATTCTAATTAATCACTTTTTCATAGAGCAGTGGATGGCACTTTGTAAAATACTTGTTTACTACTTACAAATATTTCATGAGAGAAAAGCAGAAAATAATCTTCTGGCACTCAACTGTGAAAAACCTTTCTGTTGTTTCTCTTTGCATCCTCCCTCAGGCAAAAACGCCTTATTAGGACATCTAATTGATGTTTTCCTTGGGCAACTTTATGGGGCAATGTTTCCTCAGCCACACTTGGGCCTTTTTCTAGTTCTGAGTTTTATAACTGTCTTGAAATGGCCCAAGATACAAACCAGAGTCATGTCTTTTGGAAGTTCTGTTGAATATCAAACCTTGGTAATCTTCCAGAGGACACTCTGAGGTATGGTGGGAGTGCAGCTTCTAAAAAAGGAACAGATGAATGCCCTTTGAGGGGATGAGAGAAATATGCAGGCTTACCCTTCCTGAAAAGAAAAGAACGTCTTGGGATTTTAAGGTTTTTTTCCCCAATCCCAGTTTTCATTCCATGGAGGCACAGTGCTGGTCAGCCAGATGCCAGTAGTCAGAGAAAAAGACAGATTATTCCTGCCTTCTGAATTATCTTATATTTGCTAAGCGAAAAACTCCACCCCAGGGAGGCAGTGCAAGAACCTGCAAAGCAAAACGCAGAGTGTGACACAATGCAGTGTCTCCAGGGAGGGTGGGCAGTGAGCACTTCAGTGAGGAGTATGAGAGTGAGAGAAAGTCTGAAGGGATAAGGTGGCCTGATTCGACACTTGAGTCAGATGTTCCAGTAAGCACTGTCACTCCCTGAGTTTGGTCCCTTCAATAGATTTGTTCACTATTTCAACTTTGTTTTTTATTAACTGTAAATTGAATCTCAAAGTATAGGCAGAAAAGGGCTTTGAAAGAAAATTGGAAAGAGCAAATAAGATTAGAAGGAAGGTAAGAGGAGGTGGACAGAATGAAGGGTGGCAAAATCAGATTCTGAATCAGAGAATGTTCCATCCTGAAGTCAGCCTGTTCTCAGGAGGTTAATAAAGAGAGATTGAATGTTGACTCAGGCTGAAAATAGGTCAAAGTTCAGGGGCCTGAACAAATATATATATATATATGTGTGTGTGTGTGTGTGTGTGTGTGTGTGTGTGTGTGTGTATTTTGGCCACCAAAGGTGAAATTGTTTAGCCAATTGTTCATGAGAAAACAATGGAAATGTGTGGTCTGTGTCTGGCTCTGTTATAGGTTAAAAAAGGTGGGGGTGTATTATTGAAGTCATAATGGGAAGGGTGTTTCTTTTCATTAAGCTGATTTCAGAGAACAAAAAGCATAAGGAATTTATTCAGTCACAGCTATTTAGCAGAATTACCTACCTGCCCCAACTTTCACCACCAGTTTTCCTTGCCTTATGCATCTCTTCCATGCAGCTGTTACTGAGTTGTATGTTTTATAATAAACTGATATATATAAGTACAGTTCTTTGCTGAGTTCTGTGAATAGTTACATCAAATTATTGAGTTTGAGGAGGGGAATGTGGAAGCCCTTGATTTGTAGGCAGTAGGTGAGAAATAAAGATGGGTATCCAGAGGCATGTGCCTGTCATTGGCAATGGGGGCACCATTGTGGGACTTAGCCCTGAACTTGTGGGATCTATGCTGACTCTGAGCAGCATTGGAATAGAGTTGTTGAACAGCTAGTTGGTGTTAGATGATTGGTTGGTATTCAGCAGACTCCTCACATTTTGTGTCAGTAGAAAGACATCACTGGGGCCTGGGCTGCAAGGGGACTCCAGGTGTCTGAGGGAAGTGAGACTTTACACACCACCTTATCATCACACTGTGCATTGTACCATAATTACAGGTCTCCTCCTAATATGAGAGGGGACTAAGAGCTTAGATTGAAGGAGCTCTGAGAACCTATTCCCTCTCCCCATGCTGCTGCCAGCCCCCACAGGCTTCTAACCCACCCTTGAACATACTCACTAAAAACTAATCTGGCCAACCTCCTCCCAGGACAAGGTTTTACCCTCAGGGATTGTGCCCACAACAGCTTTGTGCCTAGAATTTTCTGCCAAGAACATACACAGGTGCCTAGAAAACTCCTGGTTTATCTCAACCCTAGACACTGAATCTCTATCAGTAACTGTTTTCTTCACTGACCCATGTTTCTTGGACTAGCTGATGATAATCTCTTTTGATGGTATGAACACAGTAATACGTCAGAGCCTAGTGCTGCTGGAGCCTGTATCTGTAGCACAAACCAGTTCTTTCATCAGTTTTGCCCTGCAACCCCCCCGATGGTTCTCAATAGCATCTTTCTCTTTTCTGCATTTTACCTCCCCAGAAATCCCCTTTCCTGTGTACACAGTGTGCCCAAGTCCATCTCTCAGGTGCCTGCATTCAGTGCCTACTAGAAGTCAGATGTTAATGAGTTTAAGACCATGCCTTTAGACCTGGCTGTTGTTGGAGCAAATACAAATTAGAAAAAGCTTAACGCTTTCTTCTTAAAATGAGGGAAGAATTTTTGCTCTTCTCTCTTTTCTTAAAACATTTAGTTTGAGGAGGGGAGCGAGCAGTGCTTTGGGGGAGGGGTCGCGTAGGTGCCTCACCCGACTCTGCCGCGGCGCAATTGCTGCTCCCTGCCGGGTTTCATTCCTGGCGAGGGGTGCAGAATCATGTACATAAAGCAGGTGATTATCCAGGGTTTTCGAAGTTACAGAGATCAAACAATTGTAGAGCCCTTCAGTTCAAAACATAATGTGATTGTGGGCAGAAATGGATCTGGGAAAAGTAACTTTTTTTATGCAATTCAGTTTGTTCTCAGTGATGAGTTTAGTCATCTTCGTCCAGAACAGCGGTTGGCCTTATTGCATGAAGGTACTGGTCCTCGTGTTATTTCTGCTTTTGCGGAGATTATTTTTGATAATTCAGACAACCGGTTACCAATTGATAAAGAGGAAGTTTCACTTCGAAGAGTTATTGGTGCCAAAAAAGATCAGTATTTCTTAGACAAGAAGATGGTCACGAAAAATGATGTGATGAACCTTCTTGAAAGTGCTGGGTTTTCCCAAAGCAATCCTTACTATATTGTTAAACAAGGAAAGATCAACCAGATGGCGACAGCGCCAGATTCTCAGAGATTAAAGCTATTAAGAGAAGAAGCTGGTACTAGAGTGTATGATGAACGAAAGGAAGAAAGCATCTCTTTAATGAAAGAAACAGAGGGCAAACGGGAAAAAATCAATGAGTTGTTAAAATACATTGAATTATTATTTTTAAAACCTCTTACTTGTTTAGGAAGGATATGGCTACTTTAAAATGGAAAGGAATGATTTTAAATAAGAAACAATGAATAACATTAACCACAGAAAATCAGAGATTGAATTATCAAAATTAACATGGCATGTATCTTTTATTTTTTATTTACTTTATTTTTTTAGACAGGATCTTGTTTTCTTGCCCAAGCTGGAGTGCAGTGTTGTGATTATAGTTCACTGAAGCCTGGACCTCCCAGGCTCAATCATTCCTCCTACCTTAGCCTGAGTGGCTGGAACAATGGGCATGTGACACCACACCTAGTTAATTTTTGATTATTTGTAGAGATGGAATCTCTCTATGTTCCCTATGCTGGTCTTGAAATCCTGGCCTCAAGCAGTCCTGCCTCAGCCTCCCAAAGTTCTGGGATTTACAGGTGTGAGGCAACATGCCTGGCCAGTATCTTTCTTGAAGTCTTCATAAAATCTTAACATCTGGTAAATATAAATTTCTTTAAAACTTTGCATTAAATTTTACCACCATCATTAACTACCTTTATGTCTTTATAGCTATGTTGAAATGTCCAAAAATGACCTTTTACAGGAAAAGAATATTGACAATATATTTTTAAAAATCAGATACAAAAACATGCATTATACTTTCATTATAATGTTTTCATTATTTTTTTCTAAGAATTGATATTCAAGTGTTAATAGTCAAACTATTTTTGTTGTACCAGATTAGGATTTACATAACTGTACTTTTATGGGTCTCTGAGGCACTATGTATTTGACAGTAATCATAAATAATATGAGAATAAAGGAAATAGTCCATAATGTAACTACCAGTGATTTAATTTTTCTAATTAATTTGTGTATTAGGGTTCTCTGGAGGGATAGAACTAATAAGATATATGTATATATGAAAGGGAGTTTATTAAGGATAATTGGCTCACAGGATCACAAAGCAAATATCCACGATAGGCTATCTGCAAGCTGAGGAAGAAAGAAGACAGAGGCCAAAAGCCTTAAAAGCAGGGAAGCCAAAAGTCCAGCCTTCAGTCTGTGGCTGAAGGCCTGAGAGCCTCCAGCAAAACACTGGCATAAGTCCAAGTGTCCAAAGACCAAAGATTGTGGAGTCTGATGTTCAAGAGCAGGAGGAATGGACGAAAGCATCCAACACAGGGGACAGATAAAAGCCAGCAGACTCAGCAAATCAGTTTATCCCACTTTCTTCCTCCTGCTTTGTTCTAACTGGACTGGCAGCCAATTGGATGGTGCCCAACCACATTTTGCATGTGGCTTCCTCTCCCAGTCCACTGACTCCAGTGTTAATCTCCTCTGGCAACACCTTCACAGACACACCCAGAAACAATGCTTTACTGGCTATCTAGGCATTCTTCAATGCAATCAAGTTGACAGGTAATCTGTGAAAATGGTTCGCTATTCACTTGATCCGGAGAACCCCACAAAGTCATGCAAATCAAGAGGTTCCAATCTTCGTGTTCACTTTAAGAATACACGTGAAACTGCTCAGGCCATCAAGGGTATGCATATACGAAAAGCCACGAAGTATCTGAAAGATGTCACTTTACAGAAACAGTGCATACCATTCCGACGTTACAATGGTGGAGTTGGCAGGTGTGCCCAGGCCAAGCAGTGGGGCTGGACACAAGGTCGGTGGCCCAAAAAGAGTGCTGAATTTTTGCTGCACATGCTTAAAAATGCAGAGAGTAATGCTGAACTTAAGGGTTTAGATGTAGATTCTCTGGTCATTGAGCATATCCAAGTGAACAAAGCACCCAAGATGCGCCGCCGGACCTACAGAGCTCATGGTCGAATTAACCCATACATGAGTTCTCCCTGCTACATTGAGATGATCCTTACTGAAAAGGAACAGATTGTTCCTAAACCAGAAGAGGAGGTTGCCCAGAAGAAGAAAATATCCCAGAAGAAACTGAAGAAACAAAAATTTATGGCACGGGAATAAATTCAGCCTTAAAATAAATGCAACTAAAAGGAAAAAAAATAAAATAAAATAAAATACATTGAAGAGAGATTACATACTTTAGAGGAAGAAAAGGAAGAACTAGCTCAGTATCAGAAGCGGGATAAAATGAAATGAGCCCTGGAATATACCATTTACAATCAGGAACTTAACGAGACTCATGCTAAACTTGATGAGCTTTCTGCTAAGCGAGAGACTAGTGGAGAAAAATCCAGACAATTAAGAGATGCCCAACAGGATGCAAGAGATAAAATGGAGGATATTGAACGCCAAGTCAGAGAATTGAAAACAAAAATTTCAGCTATGAAAGAAGAAAAAGAACAGCTTAGTGCTGAAAGACAAGAACAAATTAAGCAGAGATCTAAGTTGGAGCTTAAAGCCAAGGATTTACAAGATGAACTGGCAGGCAATAGTGAACAGAGGAAACGCTTATTAAAGAGGCAGAAGCTGCTTGAAAAAAAATAGAAGAAAAGCAGAAAGAACTGGCAGAAACAGAACCTAAATTCAACAGTGTAAGAGAGAAAGAAGAACGAGGAATTCCTAGATTGGCTCAAGCTACCCAGGAAAGAATGGTCTTTACACAAAACAGGGTCGAGGAAGCCAGTTTACATCAAAAGAAGAAAGGGATAAATGGATTAAAAAGGAACTAAAGTCTTTAGATCAGGCTATTAATGACAAGAAAAGACAGATTGCTGCTATTCATAAGGATTTGGAAGATAGTGAAGCAAATAAAGAGAAAAATCTGGAGCAGTATAATAAACTGGACCAGGATCTTAATGAAGTCAAAGCTCGAGTGGAAGAACTGGACAGAAAATATTATGAAGTAAAAAATAAGAAAGATGAATTACAAAGTGAGAGAAATTACTTGTGGAGAGAAGAGAATGCAGAACAGCAAGCACTTGCTGCTAAAAGAAGATCTTGAAAAGAAGCAACAACTTCTTAGAGCGGCAACGGGAAAGGCCATTTTAAATGGAATAGACAGCATAAACAAAGTGCTAGACCACTTTCGTTGAAAAGGAATAAACCAGCATGTTCAAAATGGCTATCATGGCATTGTGATGAATAACTTTGAATGTGAACCAGCTTTCTACACATGCGTGGAAGTCACTGCTGGAAACAGGTTATTTTATCACATTGTTGATTCAGATGAAGTCAGCACAAAGATTTTAATGGAGTTTAATAAAATGAATCTTCCTGGAGAGGTTACTTTTCTACCTCTTAACAAGTTAGATGTCAGGGATACTGCCTATCCTGAAACCAATGATGCCATTCCTATGATCAGTAAACTGAGGTACAATCCCAGATTTGACCAAGCTTTCAAACATGTGTTTGGAAAGACACTTATTTGTCGTAGCATGGAAGTTTCAACCCAGCTGGCCCGTGCTTTCACTATGGACTGCATTACTTTGGAAGGTGACCAGGTCAGTCATCGGGGTGCTCTAACTGGAGGTTATTATGACACAAGGAAGTCTCGACTTGAATTGCAAAAAGATGTTAGAAAAGCAGAAGAAGAACTAGGTGAGCTTGAAGCAAAGCTCAATGAAAACCTGCGCAGAAATATTGAAAGGATTAATAATGAAATCAATCAGTTGATGAACCAAATGCAGCAGATTGAGACCCAGCAAAGGAAATTTAAAGCCTCTAGATATAGCATATTGTCAGAAATGAAGACGCTAAAAGAGAAGAGGCAGCAGTCAGAGAAAACCTTCATGCCTAAGCAACGTAGCTTACAGAGTTTGGAGGCAAGCTTGCACGCTATGGAGTCTACCAGAGAGTCATTGAAAGCAGAACTGGGAACTGATTTGCTTTCTCAACTGAGTCTGGAAGATCAGAAGAGAGTAGATGCACTGAATGATGAGATTCGTCAGCTTCAGCAGGAAAACAGACAGTTACTAAATGAAAGAATTAAATTAGAAGGTATTATTACTCGAGTAGAGACTTATCTCAATGAGAATCTGAGAAAACACTTGGACCAAGTAGAACAGGAAATTAATGAGCTGAGAGAGACAGAAGGGGGTACTGTTCTCACTGCCACAACATCAGAACTTGAAGCCATCAATAAAAGAGTGAAAGACACTATGGCACGATCAGAAGATTTGGACAATTCCATTGATAAAACAGAAGCTGGAATTAAGGAACTTCAAAAGAGTATGGAGCACTGGAAAAATATGGAAAAAGAACATATGGATGCTATAAATCATGATACGAAAGAACTGGAAAAGATGACAAATCGGTAAGGCATGCTATTGAAGAAGAAAGAAGAGTGTATGAAGAAAATTTGAGAACTCGGATCACTACCCCAGGAAGCATTTGAAAAGTACCAGATGCTAAGCCTCAAACAGTTGTTTCCAAAACCTGAGCAGTGCAACACTGAATTAAAGAAGTATAGTCATGTTAAAAAAAAAAGGCTTTGGATCAGTTTGTAAATTTCTCTGAGCAGAAAGAAAAGTTAATAAAGCGACAAGAAGAGTTAGATAGAGGTTACAAATTAATCATGGAGCTGATGAATGTACTTGAACTTCGGAAATATGAAGCTATTCAGTTAACTTTCAAACAGGTATCCAAGAACTTCAGTGAAGTATTCCAGAAGTTAGTACCTGGTGGCAAAGCCACCTTGGTGATTAAGAAAGGAGATGTGGAGGGCAGTCAGTCTCAAGATGAAGGAGAAGGGAGTGGTGAGAGTGAGAGGGGTTCTGGCTCACAAAGCAGTGTCCCGTCAGTTGACCAGTTTACTGGAGTTGGAATTAGGATGTCATTTACAGGAAAACAAGGTGAAATGAGAGAAATGCAACAGCTTTCAGGTGGACAGAAATCCTTGGTAGCCCTTGCTCTGATTTTTGCCATTCAGAAATGTGACCCCGCTCCTTTTTACTTGTTTGATGAGGTTGACCAGGCTCTGGATGCTCAGCACAGAAAGGCTGTGTCAGATATGATTATGGAACTTGCTGTACATGCTCAGTTTATTACAGCTACTTTTAGGCCTGAACTGCTGGAGTCAGCTGACAAATTCTATGGTGTAAAGTTCAGAAACAAGGTTAGCCATATTGATGTGATCACAGCAGAGATGGCCAAAGACTTCGTAGAAGATGATACCACACATGGTTAATTGGAAAATACTACCTACTGGTTTGGGAGATGTGTATAGATGTGTATAGTTACCCACGAACTGTAAATTTAAACCTAAATATTTGACCATTATTAGTAGTTTTCAGATTTAAAGCATCATAGTCCTTTTATATTTGTCTTTGTATTTTATAAGATACGCTGTAATGTTTCTACCTATAGTTTAAGAATTTTATTTCCTGTACAACTTTTTGTAAAATGTCCTGCTCCTATTTTAAATTTTTTGAAACATGCTAAATATTCTTTCCTAGTTATTTTATCACTTATACTGCCTTTTTTAAATAGCTTCAATTAAATAATCGGTATTATGACTAAAAAAAGAAAAAAAACATTTAGTTTGAAAACTTTTATATTTAAAGATTTTATCTACTTCTTTGAAATATATGTAAATCATTTTTATCAGTTAAATAGGTCATTTGGCTTTTGTGTGTTTTTAGTCTTTTGTTTCAGAATTGTCTTAATCTAGGACCTGGGAACCGTTGCTTTGAAATGTAAATAATAAGTATATACACCCTATCCCACAGTTTCTGTAGGAGAATAGAAAGTTGCTTGCCTTCAGCAGGTACCTAACTCCTTGTTACAAAATTACTTCCTGTCATGAAGATGGAGGGTTTATTTTTCCTTTACACATTACCAATTAGAAAATTCAGATGAGCTACTAAATTACTAGGTTAAATTATAATGAACTTTGTATGACAAATGATGCACTTGATAACTAATTATGTTGACCTTTCTATGTTCACCATCTCTTAGTAGATTGCCTGTGATGTACATCACATTTTAGTTTAATTATATAACCAAACAGTTTTCTCGCTATTCTGTTATTGTGGAGAATTTTTTAGATTTGGAGATGAGTTTGCTTTTAGTTATGTTTTCCACACACTCTCCAACATTACTACATGTTATACACAAGGTGCCCACCAAGCTTCACTTTAGAGGGAACTTTCTTTCTCAGGATTCCAATCACAGCCCACAATTGTGCAACTAAGTGCTCCCCAAATCTGCAAACAGAATAGTCTCTCTCTCTATTTGGAATCTACAGTCCCTTCTAGAGCAGGTACAGTATCTTTTTATAAAAATAACTTTTCAGAACAGCAATCAAGTATTCTGCCTCCTGTAGTGTTCCTGGCATCTTCACATCTGACACTGATTCAGATCATGAGGCCCTTAAAGCCAACCAAGGTCACACATGTACATTAATTAAACCTGAAAACTTCAACTCCCTCCCACTTTCCCTTGTCCAAAGGCCCACGAATGTGCATAGTTCACCAGCCCTTCAAGACCTAAATGTGCAGTTCTAAATTCTGAATTTATGTCCTGGGATTTTAGAGAAGAAAAGGTGTTAAAGGAGCCTCCATGACAGGATCTTTCTTCTGGTTTTACCCTGCTTGCTGTAACCGCAAAGAATGCAGAGGCCCATTGATCCCCCCTAGAATCTGCACAGAAAAGCTGGCCTCTCTCTAGGATTCACAAGACAGGTTCAGACTTTGTGTTGAAAACATACAGAAAACTCACAGAAGACATTTTCTGCATCATGAGAGATCAACATAGACATCCTAAGCTTCACTTTCAGAGTGGAGCCATTTGAGTTCTCCAGATCTTGTCCAGTAAACTGCCACAACTCTGTGAGAGGCTTCTGGTGCCAACAGAATCCTGTGGCAGAATCTGTAAGTTAAACAAGCATCTTAGCAGTGGGAGGTCAAAGCTACAACATATCCAGAATGATAATCACAACTATGCCCCCCTGTAAACTCTTACTGGAGTAGAGTATTTTTGTTCCTCCCCTTACTCAGAGTTAGCTGGTTAGGGACAGGAGATATTACATCTAGATCCAGAATCTGTTGCTCCACCAGTGCAGTTCCATTTTCTATAATATTTGCTCCCCACAAAGCCTGAGTGTCTCCTGCGTGGGTCATTATGAGGGTATCAGCCCATAGTCACTGAGGACACTCTCACCAACACCTGTGAGTTTTGGAGACATCTGAGAGTGTCCTGTGCAGATTGGGGTCAGTTTGACAACAAGGTTTAATTCTGCTCCCATTTTAGAGAAATAGAAATGACTCAGCCAGAGTTTGTTCCTCACCTCACAGAAATAATTTCCTTGGTTTGTACCCAGATGGTACAAATTGAGTACTCAGTACTCAAACTGATCAATAAGCCAATTGCTTCTATTTCATATGGTCATTAGAAAAAGAGATGAAAGCAGTCATGGTCCCTACTCCGAAGGAATTTGCAATCTAGAGCACATGAACAAGTGGTTGAATTCAGCATCCAGTGTTCAGTACAAAGATGGAAGGCGTATAGGAGACTTAAGCTTCATTTAGGTCACATCCCTTTCATTCTTTTGAGTTTTGATGCCACCACCTGAAGGGCTATTCATGGACAGAAGAGAATTTGTTATTATTTATATTATTTTTACCTTGCTGAGAATAAATATTTAGCTTCAAATATAATTGTTTTAGGAAAACTTAAGGGTTTTGGTTAAATTTCTTCCTATTGTATGTTATAAAATAGGCAGGGAAGTGGCTAAAATAGATTAAAATTGCACAAACTCTGAAAATCAAATTTCTCGGGCAGGCTTAGAAAAGGCAAAATTGAAAATTCTTAGCAGCATAGAGACCTGTCCCAACCCTGCCCAGATCCACCCTCTGCTGCTAAACTTTCTCCAGGTCTGACACCACACTGAAATTTCTCCCAGAACTGCCTGGAGGAATTCAGAGTGCGGAGTGCCTACTCCTACTGCCCCTCCAGAGCTAGTGCTCACAATTTTCTGAAACCTAAAAACAGATAAAGGGGGAAAAACTATATACTTTGGGGCCTTAAATTCTTTTTTAAAAAATTAGGCCAGGCATGGTGGCTCACACCTGTAATCCTAGCACTTTGGGAGGCCGAGGCAGGTGGATCACTTGAGGTCAGGAGTTCAAGACCAGCCTGCCCAACATGATGAAACCTACCCCTCCGCCACTCCCCCGACCATCTCTACTTAAAAAAAAAATTAGCTGGGCATGGTGGTGGGTGCCTATAATCCTAGCCACTCAGGAGGTTGAGGCTGGAGAATCACTTGGACCCAGGAGAAAGAAGGTGCAGTGAGCTGAGATCATACCATTGCACTCCAGCCTGGGCAACAAGAGTGAAACTCCATCACACACACACAAAAATAATAATTAAAAGAAATGTTTCTACAGACATCCCATCCAGCAACCTGTTCTTCATTCCTGCCTTTTCAATGGTTTACTCACAAGTTTCAAAGTAAATACAAACACAAAAATTTAAAAATCATCTGAATTACAATTAGCTCTTTCTGTATATCTCCCATCTGTCTATAATGATATATTATTCTATACATTTTATATTTAAAATCATTGATAGGAAAAAAGAAGAAATAGAAATGTCAGGGCCTGTATTTAAATCCTGGGAAGTATGGGACACTTATACCCACCTCCCAGGTGTTAGAAGAATTAACACACATAATGTGAGCTTCCCAGCATAGTGCTCTGTGACATATTCCTGAGCATATAGTACATGCTCCATAAACATTTTGTTACTGCTTTTGCACGTGTTTTTCATCTGCAGAATTACTCAGACATTGTCATCATCTCCAGCCTATGTAAACTATGTAAAAGGGCCTGCAGAGAATGCCGTGTTTCAGGATGATGATTGGTGATCTTTTCTTGGGATGAAGAATATTTGTGTTGTCATAAGGGTGTTGGGGTAAGGGATTCTGCATGTGCCTGCTTTCTCTAGCTGAATGGTACTATACTGAGTCTAGGAGGAGGAACATCAGCATTAACAGGAGACTTGTTATAAGAATCCAATTCATGAACCCATTTCAAACCTGCAGAATTTTGTTATGGTGAGGCCTAGAATACCACATAATTTATATGCACATTGAAGCTTGAGAGGCAATGCTTAGTTAAGTGCCTGTCAGCCCAGTCTTTCAACAGGATCACATGGACACTTTGAAGAGAGATCGTTACCTGTGCCCTCCCTACAGATCCTGTTTATTGTTCTGGGTGGAAACATCCCTGTGTTTTAAATTCCTCACATCGTTGTATGGTGAGACCAGGGTCAAGTATGAGGGCCTCCAAATACTTTAACGAGAGATGAGTTTACCCATTGTTCCAGGAGGTCACAGGGCTTGCTCTGCTTGGTTTTGGTAGGGGCACATCAGTATAACCTATATTTCCATTGCAGCAGCAGAAACTGCTTGCATAGCACCCTTTTCCCTCAGAGTTACAGAATACTTTAGAGAATATGACTGTGTTAAAAGTTATTTTATCAGATAATCCCAGTCAGCCACATAAGTCAGAGCTAGTTATTTTAACTCATTTCATCTCTAGTCAAATTAAGAACTCTGTCACTTGATCTATGTTTTCAGGAACTCTTAACATTCAGGGATGTGGCCATAGAATTCTCTCCAGAGGAGTGGAAATGCGTGGACCCTGGCCAGCAGAATTTATATAGAGATGTGATGTTGGAGGACTACAGAAGCCTGGTCTCTCTACATGAGAGTAACTTTAATGCATAATTCCTAACACTTCCTCAGAATTTTATTTTTTTTTCTTTGCAGACTGTTTCTTGAGAGCTTCTGCTTTGCATGAATTAATTTCAGTTCTTTCTTCAAGAAGAATGGGAGTTTTCTGGTGTAAAAAAGAAAATATTTTTCTTTTTCTTTTTTTTTTTGTTTGTTTGTTTTTAATTAAGATGGAGTTTCACTCTTATTGCCCAGACTGGAGTGCAATGGCACAATCTTGGCTCACTGCAGCCTCCACCTCCTGGTTCAAGTATTTCTCCTGCCTCAGCCCCCTGAATAGCTGGTATTACAGACACCCACTGCCATGCCTAGCTAATTTTTTGTATTTTAGTGGAGACGGGGTTTCACCATGTTGGTCAGGCTGGTCTCGAACTCCTGACCTAAGGTGATCCACCCGCCTCGATGTCCCAAAGTGCTGAGATTACAGACTTGAGCCACAGCACCTGTCCAAAAAGAAAATCTTTAAGAGATTTCATCTTTACATAAACCTTCTCTTTTCTCGAGCTAATTTATGTTCTTTACTCTAGTGGTAGTTTTAGAAATTCAGTGACATGAAATATGGTTTCTCACATCTTAACATCCATTTTGTATCACTTACTAGTATTTTTTTCTTTTTGGAGACAGAATCTCACTCTCGCTGGAGTGCAGTGGCACACTTGGCTCACTGCAGCCACTGCCTTCTAGTTTCAAGCACTTCTGCCTCAGCCTACTGAGTAGCTGGGACTATAGGCATGCAGCACCATGCCCAGCTAATTTTTTTTGTGTATTTTAGTAGAGGGTTTTGCTGTGTTGCCCAGGCTGGTCTTGAACTCCTGAGCTGAGGCAATTTGCCCACCTTGGCTTCTCAAAGTGTTGGGATATCAAGTGTGAGCCACTGCACCTGGCCTTGTACCACTTATTTTGATTCAGTAGGACTGGGTAGTGGAGTTTAGAACTTGCAGATTTAGAATACTTAAATATTCTAAGATTCTGTCAGAAAACAATTTTTGGATTGATTTTCTAAAGTCTTCCATATTTTCTCTTTTCTGCTTAGCATAGTACTAGGTTGGTAATTGGAGAATCTCCCAAAACAGTTGATTTTTTTAAATAAAACAGGTGTTGCTATCTCTAACCAGAATTGGTCACCTGTCTGGAGCAAAGAAAAGAGCCCTACAATGTGAAGATACATGAGACAGTAGCCAGACTCCCAAGTATATGGGAGTGAATGAAGGAGATGACACAGGCAAGGGGACCAAAGGTCAAGAAGGAACCAGGCCTTAAAATGTAGTTTGGGAAGCTCTGCTCCAATGAAAATAATTTCTGAAAATGTTGCATTTTTTTTTTCATATTCTCAGATTGGGACATCTTCTGTCTCATGCTCTTAAGTCTTTTAAGAATTTTTTTTTCTTTAGAGATTTCCCTTCAAGGTTACAGTGAGAGCCAGTATCCCACTTTATCACTTACAAAGGGCTGCATGATTTGACTGCTATTCCATTGTTTTTGCAGACATAGGAATATTTGTATTTTTGAGGAGCTCTATGTTAACATATCTTTTTCAGGACATATTGGAATTTGAGTTCAGAAATCCCAGGAACACCAGGGACCAATGTTGCATCTTTCTGCTTAGTAATTTTGAATTTTATAGAGGTTACAAATGGGATTCTACAAAATTTCTTACTCAGCAACTTTATTAGAACAATAAACATTTTTCTAAATATGAAAAAATGTAATGTTATTTTACTTTGAAATGTTGTTTAGTATAAACTGAGATTTGTAATTCAAATTCTCTATGTGCAGAGTATCAAATTATAGCTTAAAGAATGGTTGTTCAACGTTTTGGTTTCCCCAGGCCACATTGGAAGAAGAAACATTGTCTTGGCCATATATAAGATACGCTAGCACTCATGATAGTTGATAAGCTAACAAAAAAAGGGGAAAAGCGCGGTGGCGGGGGGTGTTCATGCACAGTTTTCATGACATTCATCACCACAGATAAGCAAAAAGGTCATTTTCAAAGGAAATAAAATATTAGTACCTGAAGAAGTATCTTCAGCCCCCATGTTCATTGTAGTGTTGTTTACATAGACACAGAGAGGAATATTATTCAGCCATAAGAGAGGAGAAAATCTAGCCATTTACAACACAGATAGACCTGGAGGACATTATGCTAAATGAAATAAGCATAATGGTTGGTTAGACATGGCTGGTTGAAACTATCTACTCATCTTCTAGATTTTTTAAATGCCCTATGTCATTAATGAGCTTAGAAGATTGCTAAGCATATATTAAGCCATGTATTATCTTATTTTTTAATAACTTTATCTTATAATTTTGTCTTTTTTAATAGGGAGCCTGCTGGGACTGTGTCATTAAGACATATCAATATATATAAATGTGTAAGGTGATACACATAGACACACCTATATAATTTGTATGTGTCTATAGTTAGTTCTTAACATTGATAGGTTCTTGGAAGCTGTAATTGTAAATGAATCAACATATCACTTAAGAAAACAAATTTTACCATAGTTTAATTGATACAAACAAAAGATATGTGAATGGCATATAGCAATGTTGTTTCATTTAAAAATGCAGTTTTCAAGAACCTATTTTGAGCATTAAATGAGGACGTACTATATGACTGTGTTTGTGTGACATGGATTTTTTCAGATAAATAAAAATTGTATACCTATACATTTAATGTGTACAATGTAATGATTTGATACACACATACATTGTGAAATGAAATATAGTAAAGTTGAACACATCTATTACTTCACACAGATAAACTTTTTTTGTAGTAAGAACACTTAAGGTCTACTGTTGTGGCAAATTTTAAGCACACATTATAATATTACTATAAACAATGCTATTTTGCTAATCTAATGCTAATGTACATTAGATTTCTCAAGACCTGCTCAATTTATAACTAAATTTGTACTCTTTGAACAACATCTCCTCATATTTCCACCCTTAGTCACTAACAACCACCCTTCTACTCTCTGCTTCTACAAGTTTACATTTTTAGATTTCCCATCTAACTGAGAACATGCAGTTTTCTTGTCTTCTGTGTTTGGCTCATTTCATTTAGCATAATGTCCTCCAGGTCTATCTGTGTTATAAATGGCTAGATTTCCTCTTTCTTATGGCTGACTAGTATTCTTCTCTGTGTCTATGTGCATATTTTGTCTATTGTAAACAATAATACAGTGAACATGGGAGCTGAAGATACTTCTTTAAGGTACTAATATTTTGTTTCCTTTGGTAGTAGTATGCCTAGAAGTGGTATTACGGATTATATGATACTCCTGTTTTTATTTTTTATTGGTTTTTATGATGGCTTTATCAATTTACATCTCACTAATAGCATATGGGATTTCCCTTGTATGTATGTCTTCTTTGGGGAAAAGAATCTTTTGCCGGAATGCTGGGAAGATGGCCACCTAAGAACAGCTCAGGACTTCAGCTCCCAGTGAAAGTGCAGAGGGTGAGTGGATGCCGCATTTCCAGATGTATTTTTATTGTCCACAGACCAGGAGATACCCAGGCAGAGGGGTCGCCAGCAGTTCTGGCCGGTGCGGTTGTTTTGGCCCCAGCAGGGCTGATTTGGCCCGCGTGGCTGCTTTGACCACACCCTGTTATGGCAGTTCCCCGTACAAAAGCCACTGGTCTGGGAGCCCTCTTAGCTGGTGATCGGAGCCCTGAGATGGCAGAGTTGCCCATTCATCTGAAATAGCAAGCCAGGCCAGGAGATTCCTAGGCAAAAAATCTGCCAGGAGCCAGCTCTGCTGTTTGAACCAACTCAGTGAGTCGCAGCATGGGAGATCCCAGCGCCTTTTCAACAAGCAACTGGAACGCGGGGTCATTCAACTTAAAAGAAAAGACTCTGAGTCAGGGAGCCAGGTGATTAGGCACAGTTGGTCCCACACCCCGACCCCCAACAACAATGAAAACAAAAACAGTAATTGGAAACCCTCTGGGTTGAGCCCTTCAAACCAAGCACAGCTGAACCCCGGATGGCCCGGCTCGGTGCGGGAGGGGATTCTGCCATTACTGAGACTCTCCCCCACTACAAAGGCAGGCCACCATCGCCGAGGCAACCCGCCGTTGCTGAGGCAACCTGCCACAACAGAGAGAGTCTGCTATAACAGAGGTGGGGGCACTGTTGCTGAGACAGTTCTAACTATGCCCATATAAACAAGATGGCAGGGAAGAGCACAGGGCAGCTGGGCAGAGCCCTCAGCAGCCCAGCAAAGCCTCTGTAGGCAGGCAGTGGCTAGGCGTGCTGCTAGCTGGGCAGGCCAGACCTGAAAGAAAAATCAAGAAAGGTAATAGTGCAATGGAAACTCATAAAGCTCCAACTCCCTGGGACAGAACACCTGGGAACAAAAAGTGCTTTATGATTTCAGCTGCAGCAGAAATAAACGTACCTGCCCAGCAGCTCTGAATGAACAACGGAGCTCACAACTCAGGACTTAAGCCCCAGTAAAAGATAGACTGTCTCCTCGAGTAGCTCCCTGACCCCCATAGATCCAAAGACTCACCTCATAAAGGAGAGAACGGACTGACAGTAGGCGAGCATCCTTCTGGGACAAAGATACTGGAAGAGGAAACTGGTAGCAACCCTTACTCTTCTGCAGTTGCTGCAGGTGATCCCCAGGCAAGCAGGGCCCGGAGAGGACCTCAGCAGTCCTACAGCAGAAGGGCCAGACTGTTAGAAGGAAAGTTTAAAAAAAAAAAAAAAGAAGTAACTTCAGCATCCACGAACTAGAAGCTCACTCAGAGACCCAATTTGAAAGACAGTAACTACAAAGACAACAGGTGGATAAACCCACAAAAATGGGAAGAAACCAGTGCAAAAAGGATGAAAACTTCCTAAACCAGAACGCCTCTCCTTCTAAAAGGGATCACAACTCCTCACCAGCAAGGGAACCAGACCGGATGGAGAAGGAGGGTGATGAAATGACAGAATCAGACTTCGG